AACATTCGATTTAGCAGATTTTGAAATGGAGAAAGACATAATAATAATAGGATAGTTAACAGTCGGGTTAATAATTAGACATTATTTCTACGCTAGTAGTCATTTTGCGGCTAAATGGTTTATATATACCTATAGTTATCTAACTTTTTCTATATTTTAAAAAAAATAATGATAATAGTCTATAGGCTGTAAGGACTGTTTACCATCAGACGGGCTGTAGGTATGCTTGTTGGCACCTTTATAATTAAAAAATAAAATAAAAATAAACACTACACAAGCACATATTAATGGTAGAATTGTAATTAGTGATAAAAAATTCATGGGAATGAGACTAAGTAATATTAATATAATATAATATAATATTACAATTACAATAATTTTTACAAATGCAAAATACGTATCTTCACAAAATTATGAACTGCTTTTTCTATTTTTTTTTATAGCTTGCTTGCTTGCTTATAAAATGGCTCCAAATGAAATGAATTGAAATGAAATGAAATTAATTAGTAGTAATTAGTAGTACATAATAGATGGTGTGGTTATTTATGTTATATAGATCTCACTTGTAGTCTTTACAGACATGCAAATACATATTTGAATTAATCTATTATTATTCTTTACACAATTCAATTACATTTACATATTATACATTTATTATTATTATAAAAAGTAATGAAATCATTTTTATAAAACTGTCATATAATATCATTATCATCAATTCAGCCATTATCCGTGCACTGCTGGTCATAAGCTTCCCCCATAGACTGCCATAAGAAACGGTCCTGAGCCACCTGTATCCACTGACTCTCTGCAATGCATTTCAGGTTTTTACTCCATCTATTGGGGAGTCACCCTATACTGCGTTTACCCGTACGCGGTCGCCACTCAAGAATCTTTCTTCCCCATCAGTTGTCGGTTCTTCAAGCTATGTGACCGGCCCATTGCCACTTCAGCTTGCTTATCTTTAAATGGCTCCATACTAAAGTTATTATATTTGAAAATTTTGTAGTACATAATAATTGTTGATTTCAACCCACATTCACATTCACATCATCACATCTGATTTCAAAATAGGCTAGACAGACAACCGAGTGTGTATAATGTTGAAAAAAGCAATGACTTATTTAAAACTTTCTTTCCTGTAATTTAAACAATTTGAGCACAGTAAAAAGAGTTACAGGCTACTTTTATTTTTACTTTATGCATTACATTTATTTTAATTATACATTCGAAAATAAAATTTAACAAAATAAATTTATCTTGAATTTTAACAAAATTATCACTATTATTTTTATTTCATGACTCAGATGACAGCTGTATCCTTAAGATTCAAAAGCGGTCAAGAGAAATAATATGGAATTGGTGGTTTGGTTAACATTAAATTTATTTATAAGAACACTCTAACTCTGTATGTTTATTTGATTTTAAAATCGATTCCAGGCATATGCGAACGAATTTGTGCAAGCTAACCAGTTTATAAATCCTTACCAATATCATAAATTGTGAAAATAAGTATGTTTCTTACTTCTTGGAGTCCATAGTAATTGCTATAGAGAACTATTATGAACAAAGATTATAACGTGACTTCGCATACGAATCACATGCATATAATTATTTGTAAAAAAATATACTTTTAAGAATAGAATTGTCATTTTTAAATACGTCAATTCTATGACAATTTATCATTGAGTTCGCAACTATATAGTTCCATGGGAGTATAATAGATTAAATCTTATGCTCGGATATTCATTCGACGACGAGAAAATCTAGATTTATGTTAAGCCTATAAAATAGCATTGTTTCATTTAGATTTCCCATACGATATTCGTTCCTGTAGAATTAATACGGCTAACTAGCAACTAGTTCTACGCATTTCCCATGAAGAGAGTGTAATAAATTCAAAGAATGCTTTATTTGTTCCTAAGTTTCATCACTGTCTAGAAAATTCACGCTCATAAAATACGTGTTGTTTTTTTATAATAAATGTTTGTCACCGAGCTTTTTTTATGAAACAATTTACAAAAGGAATAATGAGGTTCTGAATTCGAGTGTATTTTCTTAAGTTTTTCGTAAATACATCTTACAGTATATTCGCCAATCTTCAAACGGTTTTAATAATCATTTTTAAATTTTTTATGAATCCAAAGGAGCTTATTCGTATGGTGAGTCCATAGTAATTTAATCTAGATTGAAGTTGACCGAATTGAACAAAATTTAGAGTTATTTAAAAGTATTTTTCTTGGACAAACCAAACCTTTACATTGGCTACTGAGCACCTTAATTCTTTCTTACTAAAAATAAAAAAAAAACTATAAAAATATTTTTCTTTTTTTATTGTATATGCATTCTTTTATCTCTTTTTACAATCAATTAATCAATCAATTTCTGTTGCTTTTTGTGTGCTGTAAGTAATGCAAATAAATTATATGTTTGTCTACTTAACTATCTATCTTACTGATTTCAATTTAGGCGTTGTAAATAAACAGATAGTCATACTCACTCTATTCTGATTTTTTTATTAAATCATCGTTTAGTATTACACAGAAAATTAAAATAATAAAAATATTAATTATACGAGTTTTTAGCATCGGATAAAAACAAAAAAAGGGAACAAAAGCAAAAAGTGATGTCGCTGGTCTATTGTTATGTTTATGTTTCAAACCCACATATTGATGGACTCTGTTTTGTGCTATAAACAAAAAATGACATTTACATCGAAAGAGGTGACTGTAATCACGATCTCACTCTGTGGTCACTTCATATGACAGTTACAAATGGTACTTAACATTGACTACAATTCGGAATCAGAAAAAATAAAAAGATGCACCACTGACTGACTAATTCTTTAACTTGTCATTATATTAGGATAATTAATTGACGACTGAAAGACAGATCTTAACAATGTTTGTGATTAGAAGTAAATTTGGCAGTTTCCACCCCGCGATCTACGAGTAGATATCTCCTATCCCAGTGACTATTTTTTTAAACCTTATTTCTTTTTGTATATAAATACTATCTTTTTTCGCAACTTCATGCATGGATTTTAGGAATAGGTAATTTATAAATAGCTTATCAAGATAAAACACACAACAAATTTTAAATTAGAGCTTTAGGAAGCCTACTGTAAAAACTGCATTCAATTTGGTGTAGTAGTTATAGCATGATAAAGAAACAATCATACTGACAAAAAATCTAAAAATTTATGCTTTGTTTCTATTGTTTTTCTTAAATACCTCTTATTATATCTTATATATACATTTTTCAGTTAATAATTGAATGACGATGAAGTTATTATATAAATAAAATAATAGTAGTATTTAGTGGAATAAGAAAAGATTATATAAAAATAATAGTACAGGTACATTTCAGAGTTCTATAATTTTTTTAATTATTATGTTTTTTTTTTGTAATTACACATAAAAAGTGGAATCAGAACCATCCTTTACCAGTGAAATTAATATTAGTAATTTATTTTCCAAAACCAAACTTACCTCTAACTCTAATTAGAAGGTTTTGCTTGTTTGCTATCTTTGTGATATGAAAAATTATCAGTGTTGTTGAAAAAATATAAAAATTAGATAAAGTACAGTTTCAACTATTTCCGGCGAACTTTTTAACATCTTCATATTTGTTTAATTAAAACACACAATCCACCCAAAAAATAAAATTACGCTACTATATAAGGACATTATCATAGAAAATATATGATTAAAATAAAATTGGTTGTTTTTTTGTAGAACGGAACATTAAAATATTTATAGTCTTAAATTCAATGTATGGATCGCAAATTGCAGTAAGTTTCCTGTCATTCTTTTGTACTGTTCATATTATATTATGCATATTGGTACAAGACTCCTAAGTATAAAGTACGATATGTAATCAAGGCGGATTTCTTGGGCCATTACGACTAATAGCGGCTCAGCTACTGTGCATTTTCAAAATCATTAGTAAAATATAAACGACAATATGTTTCGAGAGCTCTTTTAAAGTTTTTCACTCGAATTTTATAATAATCGAAGTCATTACTGATTTGGCCGAATAAATGTGATAATGCGTCTTATGTTACAGTGATAAGACACTCATTTGGATATCAATATAAATGTGTATTTTGCTGTAAAAGAGACTCGTCAGTTTTTTTACGAATGGAACGTAATAAGCGCCCTTGAAAAGACTTCAACGCTTAACCAATGAGTTCGTTGATCCAACACCATTATCAAGCTTAACTCCAACCTATTCGTTGTTATGTAACCAAATTACATTGTTATTGCTAATCAATAAATTAGTGGAGTATAATAATATATTTGCCAGATAACTGATGACGTAATTTAATTTATAATATTATTATTCTGCATAAATTTCAAGATTCTATTAGTGAAACAAATCGATTATTGTGTTTATTTTTAATTTATAACTTAATTAGCTACTCAGTGTATATTGTTTGCTAATCGTTGTTGAATATTTTAGTAAATATGAAATATATGTGGCATAGTTATTTAAAAAAAATAACTAAAAGTAATAAAAATTGGTGTATGGGAAAAATCAATTAGTAAAGTTAACATAAGTTAAAATATTATAATTAAATACCTACTTTCATTGAATTTTAATAATTAAATAAATAAAATATAAATATGTACTAAATAAACTATTATCATCAAAAAGTTTTTAAAATTTCAAATTTTTTGGTCTTATACTTTTGGACTGAAAATTTAATTTATTCATGTGGTACCAATACGATGATAACATAAAAAATGGAAATATCATCTCCTAGAGTTTCTAGCAAGCAAAAATCTAAATAATGATAAAGCGACTTTTTATACTTTCAATACAGTTTATGAATTTATTAACATTTCCACAATACCTATTGAAATGTAACAAAATAAACGTCATCGCATTTGACTCTGATTGTAATGAGTCGATGACTATTCGTAGTCAGTCGTGCATGTAATTCATTAGTATTGAACATTTGAAGTTTGTAATATGCATAAGAGTGGGTCGTCTAGCCGGTGGATGTGAGCGGTGTAGAGGTGGTGCACGGCGTGTGGCCGGTGCGTACGAGGAAGGCCGGAGCGTGGCGCGGTCGGCGACACGCGGCGCGGTGCGCGTCGCCGGCGGCGCTGCACTTGCATCGCGCCGCTGTCGGCTGCCTGACCGCGCTCGGCTCCGGCACTCAGTCCGCCTCGAATCTCCGGTAGAGCAACACCGACACCGCGCTCATGTATTGCGCGACAACCGGTGCACTCATAGAGTAAAAGTATAGCAATCAGTAACTCCACAAACACAGTACCCGCATGCAAGCAGACGTTCCGTAAACATACCATCGACCATCACCGGCGCATCTGCGTGCGTGCATCTATACGCGCGTTCATGAAGACGATGTACTGCTTGCATTACCTTTGCCGCGCTCACTTGTTGCAAGAGGTGTGGCGGGTGGGTGTGCGCGCACGTGCCTGACGTGCGGAGCGCGCGGCGCGCCGGCACAGTGCCGCGCGAGCGGGCGTCGAGCGCAGAGCGCCGCACGCGCCGGCATGCGACGCTAGCGGGAGCATGCGGCTCCCTTTGCTGCCGCTGATCGTGCTTGTGCTCGCGCGCCCTTCGACAGGTGAGAGTTATATGCAGCGTTAGTGCGGCTCACTGTTTCTCTGAAGCAGTTACGATGTTTTGCTGGAGTGGAGTACATTTTTTAATAAACATTTTTCAAATTTCAATTTTCATTCCATTCTAGCAAAAAAGTCACTGTAAAATTAATTATATTTAATGTGTAAAGCGAAAATTGAATAACCTGTAATTAATTTATCTGTACATGGTGATAATTTCGACGAAGTCGCTTGACCGGTAGCTCCCGTTTGCACGCGGTAAACGAACGTTAAAATGTCCCACTTAAAATTCAAATTTGCTTCATGCTCGGTAAGTAATTTCTATATTTATTTTTCAAAAAGATATATAAAATAAATAAGTAATATTAGAAACTATTTTATTACAAATCAACACAATGTTAGGGCGGGAAACAATCACCTGTATGTAACGTAGCTACTATCATAAAACAATACCATACTAGTACATTAATGATCTTGCAAGTTCAGATTCCTCTTTTCAATGAACACAATGCTTTTTTTCTGAACTGATGGTGGTCGACGCAGTAAACCTGAACTGAATACATGAATTTAAATTGGTGCATTTTCACCAAGAATACTTGGCAAACAAAATTGTAGCATGAGATTGCCGCCAATTCGTATACATCTATAAATTCACTAAGTATATATTCGGCAAAAATACACATTCCCAATTAACTGACATTTTCCTGTAAACTGACGTAAACTGTCCGTAAATGACCTGTAAAAAAATGTCTTCAGTTGTTTATATGAACCAAGGTAATACAAATTTTTGGTAAATAATCAAATTAATAATTCTAAAGTTTGGTACACATGTTGTAAGTTGTTAAAAAACGTGTTAAAAATCTAATTTTGTCGCTCTTTCTCCCTTTTTGAATTGTAAAAATTATTCAAATGCAATCTATAATATAATTAAAAGTCAAAAATATTTTTCTGTACCTATTTCGCAAGATTGTTGATAACTCTCGAAACTAAAATAATTCCCTTCATCCGTAATCTTTTAAATGCGTACAAAAACATTAATAAAAAACAAGATAGATAAGTAGCTACTTAGCTATTTTGTTTTTTATTAGTGTTTTTACATGACGAAACAGCTTTTCGTCATAGTGTTTACTATCTTATGGTTACACCATTCATACAAACAAGACCTAATTTAATAGGAACATGTAGACAAAAATATTTTAAAACATCTACTATTACTTCTATACAATAGTTAAAGTTTCGCGTTATTGTCACATATTTTAAATATTGCATCGCGTTAAGTCCCGATAATGCATTTAAAATACTTATATAAAACTAAATATTTGAGAGATTTATGATTATATATTTGCATATTCAGTTTACAAAGCACCTATTTTATCAATTATTCTTTCTGAAAATAAGGTCTATCTTTTATATCACTTTAAGAAGAGGTTGTTAAATCGGTTCTGTTTTTTTTTTTTGCACTAGCTTTTCGCCCGCTACTTCGTACGCGTAAATCTTAATAGTAGGAAAACCAATGAATTAGACCACTTCTAGGTGGTGATCAAAATAAAACATATATCAGTTTTTAAGATAGATCTTTAAAAATACGATTGTTGAAACCGTGTCCAATTTGGTACAGCAGTTATATTCATTTTTAGATACTCCATGTACTAATATTATCTGTTTACAATTTTATTATACGTAAGATGTTACTCGATATAATAAATAACTAAATATATGAAACCATTAATTAATAATATAGTACAATATATAACGTAGATGATATCTGTAACGATTTTAAACGAAATATGTTTACTGATTCATTGAAATTCATTGAATGAGTCATTGAAATAGATAGAGTTTAGATACCACCGTGTTGATCCAATGTTAATTTAATCACGGTTAAAGTAATTGCTTTTTCGGAACACACTTTAAAATTATAATTAATCGGATATTATTCTTTCATCGCACCCACATTATTATAATTTTACAAAATTATATATTATTTATAATGTTAGACTTCATTTAGAGTATATAGTTAGATTAGTATACATTCGTGCAATTCTATCACGCTTTTCTCCCATTAGGGAGAAACAATAGATGGATCAGTATAACATATAGTTAATATTTAACATTAATATATAATTTAAAAAAAAAAACCATTTACCTAAGACAGATCATAGAATATTCAAAATATATATAAAATTCTAAAAATGGAAAAATCATAATTGTTAGAATTTTAAAAGTATATTATGGAACTGTTTCTCTCTTCTTACTCTTTCATCTTTATTTTAAATACAGAGATATCAGCAGTCTTTTTTGACGCATTTAAATTGGGATTAATTCTAAATCATTCGGTATACCCGTCAGATGGACGTTACGTTACATTATATTTGACGTCTATAAATTTGACTTGATCCAAATTTGATTGCGTCAAGTCAGTAAGGTGGATTAATCACTAAATAAATAGTCATCCTGAGCCTAATTGTTTGGATCAAATATATTTACATATTAATTTCTTATTTTATTTATTTATTCATTAACACATATAATACATATATTAAGTCCATCTTAAGGAAGTGTCAGAATACACGAATGCGGTACTTTTAATTATTGATATACATACATACTTACAAAAATTTACAAGCATTAATAAATAAATATACTAAACAATAATATATATAATTAATATACTTACACGTATATAAGATATACTATACATCATTTCATTTCTTATATTCTACATCCCATATAGTGCATGTACTAAATTACAAGACTGTTAATTGATACGTTAAAGCGTAATAAGGTAACAAAAAATACTCACATTTAGATTTCAGTATCAGTAAGGAAGAATGTCTACAATGTAGTCTAAAATATTTTTCAAAAAACGTATATTGTCAACAGAAATCCTTAGAATCAATTGCTAGGTGGCTTTATTATAATTTATGCTAGCATAAATAAGCTAGTCATGGCTTGTACATGACTAACAACGTTTAAGTGAAATTAACAGCATTTAACGCCTAGTTGTGTACATATTAAAATCCACTTATGTGTATAACATGATATTTCTATGTCTGGGAAACATCCGCCCGTGCCGCTATGAGAGTCCGGCTTAATCGCTGTTCTTGTATAAGTATACGAAGAAAAATCTTTTTTAAGTCAGCTATTATTTTAAACGACCGTATGGTGTCGGAAAAAGAATATATCATTAAACTTCTTTCTGCCTTATAACTGCTTTTATCTCTAGAATATTGCAAAATAGCTCTAATGAAACCAATAGTATACATAGAATCCTACTACTATTACTACTTGTATGAGGGCATTGGCTCACATGTCTTCATTCACGACGTCCAGCCAGCGTTGCTTGGGTCAGCCACGAGATTTTTACATCTGCATCTGTTCAGCATCTGTCACAAACGTAATCTGTCCATCACAATGTCAAAAAGAGAATATAGCTTTTGTTACAGTTTTATTTTTCATTTACAGCATAAATTATTATCAACTAAATGTTCAATGCATTAGGTATACAAAAGTTATCTGCTTTGAACCTTATCTTTCTGCAGCTATGTTCAGCTGCTTTTCGATTTGTAAGATGAGCTAGGGCAGTAATATTACTAGATGCAAAGGTTTAACACCTTAGTCCTCAGAAATGGAAAAACATAAGATAATATTCATAATGCTATTAATATCTATAAACCATGGTCATACGACATTTTATTCAATTTACTTTTATCTTAAAAAACATTCTCATTTCGACTGTATTTTTTCTAAGTATATGTTATGCGATATCTCCGCCAATTTTGTATCTAATTTGATGATTCTTTTTGCAATCGATAACTAAATGTTCCATGTTTTATTCTAATTAAAGTTTCTTTTTTATGGAAATAATTAATTCATGCCATACTTTTTAATATTTAACCCTTAAATTCCGCCCACGAGAAGCAACAACCAACCTTTTTTAAATGAACATTTAGATAGTAATGGCTTACGCAATACATTTTTATTGCGTAAGCCTTTATTAATAATTATAGTCGTTTAAAGTTTTTTACATGCATAATATCCTCGCTATTATATTAATAAACAACAGATTACTTTTAAGACCAGGTCGAGGTTTCATTTTGTTTATAACATTAGTGGACTGACCTTTGAGCTATTGTGGGATAGCACACAGAATGGTTCTGGGCCATATGCATTTGTCATCTCCTCAATTTTGACATACCTATATTATATTCTCGCTATTATATTGATAAAGAATTTACTTTAGAAAAAGGCATGATTTAATTTTGTTTATAATAGGTATTATTAATAGATATTATATTATACTACTTTTTTTACTTTGTCTTGTAGACATAACAATTCCATTACTTCAAACGATTGTGTTTATTAATAAATATAACTTGAGATATAGAGGAAAAAGAGTTACAACACACAACTTAAGAAATGACAAAGACTCAAAGAAACTTCAGAAGTCAGAGTATGCAAGTAATTTGAGTAACAGATTGATACAAAATTTTTGAACTATTTGAAATGTTATCTAAATTGTTTCTATGCTACATGCATCTACCATTCACCGACCTGTCTACTGTATCATCAAATACATGCATTTACGAAAACATCGCTCTATCTTACTGATACTCGTATATTCCTAGTACCGTTACTCGTTAGAGCTCTCACAAAAAAATTGTATATATTAAAAGTCATTTGCAATTGACAAACATGTCCTGAGTCAAGATAATATATATTTAGATAGGATATTATGTTTAATAAATCCTGTGAATTAACATATTATTATTACGATTTCAAATTTAATAAAATAGACATGTCTTATAGATATAAATAAGATATGAAAGTTTCTTACCCGAAGAAGAGTATTTTTATTAATGGTAATCATTAACTGAATCAAATCAAATCAACTGTTGTGACAAAATTCAATCTATAATTTTCTTATTATGATAAGCATAGATAATAATATAATATTAATTAAAGGTTATATGTGAGCAACACTGGTGTATAACTTATTTCAAAA